ATGCGATTCTACAAGCTGCATCTGACTATGTCAGATGAGCTAAAAATGGATCCGGAAAACAAAGCAAACGTATATAAAAGGGTCACGAAAAAATTTAAAGGCAATGTCAATTCCGAGAGAAAACTGAAAAACTAACAAATTCGTCATAAAATTTTGTGAGGTAAGAACATTTAACGAAAATTTAACATTTGAAACGGTAATTACAAATGGCTAGATAACCTGTAACTCTATGGCACGACTCATAATTATGTACAATTCATCTAACTCTAGCTCAAAGAATCTAAACATACTAGAAAGGCCAAGCATTCGTTTTTAATGGTATTTCTATATGAACGTATACAACATGTATACAATTCTGGCACATATTCTAACGTCTTTTTAGCAAAAAGCATTTCGATGCCATCTAGCATATGTCAGTTACAGATGCAATTTATGAGGTTACTATAGCAACCATCACATTTACAACGTTGCTATGGCAACTGAATTTAATGCCTTAATTACTTATGAATGTAATTAGCATGGACTGAACGAGTGGCTTTTATTATTCTAACCACGATATTTCTGTCCATAATCATGATAAGTGTGCATACGACTTTGGGCCGGCAAGGAATATCTCACATTTCATCTATAGCATACACCAGACATGACTACACGTAAACAATACCGTAGACAACGAATTACGTTCTCACATCAACTATATGATTATCTTGCTATGCTAGCATCGTTGCATTAATTCTGTACAGTACTTAACAGAACAATATTTTAACAATACCTAATTTTAATAAAAAACTTCATGCATGGAAATAATAGCAAAAAGCTTCATAACTGGCCTAAAATTCTCACAGCGTTCTCACTTTCTACTTGACCAAGAAACCTCTTTTGACACATTCGGTGTTCATTTAAACACACAATACACCAGGAGTTAGTCCTAAGAGTCCTTATTCCTTAACCATTGTTTAATACAGGTCAGGTGACAATATGCTAGAATAGTGCCTTACTACATCTGTTAAGCCATCTAGTCCTTATACCGTCTCACCTCCGATATACTGATCTCTGCCTCCGTGTACTGCAGACCTTTCTGAATGATGCTGAGCAGTGACGCAGGTGGCACGAGGGCACCATTGATGTTCGACTGGCTGATGTGGCTCTCAACGCCAAACGTGTACGCCGAGTGAAGGAAACCTACACGTCAGCAAAAACAGCATCATCAGTACCAATGATCATCATACTGATTCAATGTATCCTAGTCAAAGCACGTCATCGACCATGTATCTTTTACACCATTACATTTTTATCGCTTCACGGTAAAATAACGAAAGATATCATATAATTTCCTAGATATGATATAAGTTTCCTACATGCTAAATGCATTACTCGACCCTCTGTCGCTGTGTCCAAATTATGAAATCTAACAAAAATGCATTGACCAGCAAAATGGAAAGCAAAATGGAAAGCAAAATGAAGTGTGGGTACAAACTTTAGTTATAATGTCTACAAGAAGTGTTATTACTTTCCATCGATATGTTGAGTCACCAACTCACCATATTTTCATTTACTGGAGCCTACCAGTACTTTTTCAAGCTCCAAGCTGTACTACTCATGAAATATGGCGTAAACCCTAATGCAAACATTTTAAAGACTGGGTATGACCTAAAGATAATAAAAATGCTTCTTTTCTTTATGTCAGCTGTCATGGCAACCAGCTGTACAGCAAAACAGACTCGTAGAGTACATCGGAATTTTCTAGCTATAAAGAAAGCTGTAATCCTTTTCCACAATTATCCGAAGACACTTAACCATGTCGTTACCAAAGAAATAACTAGCAGATACGTTAGTATGCGCAAAAACAAATGTTTAGAATAAACAAATGCTTCCTAAAATATTTTAGAAAAATTACAATCCAGAGGAGGGCATTCAGATAAAAGTAGACAGCCTCCCAGGTTGTAAATTAAATTAAATTAAATTAAATTAACCTATTAACCAACTACGATTTACAATATTAGCCTTTCAGTCTGATTACCGACCCAAACCTTGCATTTAGAATCCAGGATATGCATTACATGGGCCTATAGTAAATGTAGTTCACTGTAGCCTTTAGATACGCCCCCCCCCCCCATTTACGCATATCTGAATTTATGGCAACTCAATGTGTGCACTAGCTCGTGACACATATACGTTATATACATACGTACACACGTGTGCGTATTCACACGCACGCTCGCACAAACAAATATTACAAGTGTACAAGTGTACAAATATATACATGTGTTATTCGATTTTCAAAAAAAATCAACTGCCATAATTTAATTCAATGTCCTGTGCGCACAGAGAAAGTTTCTATTGATTCTAATGTTTTTACGACTATTGCTATCGGCATCCGGCATCTACCACACTGCTGACATCTTAATGTGGCTTACGTCACGAATTTCATGAGAATTCGAGATGTATTTGTCAAATATTGTTGTAGTTTTTACATGAAAGGTAAATAATATTGGAAGGAAACATATATCATTAAGCAAACTAGTACGGACTGCACTTTCATTATTTATATTTTTGCCAAAAAAAGGAATTTTCTGGTACTACTGCAGGAATCGTAATAGAGAGTACAGCTAGTCGCAAGGACGAACATTTCACCTCCGCATGTTGCTGGCGTTGGCACGTAACCAACGAGCAGGCGAGGCACTCTACAACATCGCACGACAGTCGTGCCCCCCTCCCCCCAAAGATATACTCCACCCACCCACTCATCAGAGCAAACAACCGACCCCTGGTATTACTAGCTACCCGAACATATTGAAACATCCGCAGTTTTCCCAGACCTCGTACGTGTTTACTCTGCCGAGAAGCAGCCTGCTAGCAGGCGAGTCGACTGAACGACGTGGCAAGTGTTGATGTAGGCTACATAGGCATGGTGTGCACAAGCATATATATCCTGATATATATCAAGTACTCTTGATATATATCAAGGGAACATCACCACTCACTACAGTGTATGGACGGACGCACGCAGCAAAAGTTACAATAAAAATTCATGATCTTAAATATTATTTCTTAGTATATGAATTACATTTTTCTTCGGATGCGTGTTATTGAACGTGAAGATATTGAGAGTGGAGTTATAACCAAAAATATGAACTACACAGAGACAGTGTTTTCGTGGATAAAAACAGAGAACGACTTGATTGATCATCTCCAACTCAAAATTCAACCCTAGCTTTTTAGGGCAAATGTTGATATGCAACCCGACGAAATCTCAAGACAGTTGGGCCAACGACAACAATTCCCGATAAAGCCTGTTAGTAAAAAGTTTATCTCATGATCTGCTGGTTAGATCAATACAGATTCTTACTGCTAGGAATACCACCCGAACACTGATGCCTGTCGCATTGGTACACACATGTATAAGCAACTGTACATTATATGAACACTGTATGCTCCTTTGAACGAATACGAGCGTGTGTGCATGCCAATACAGAACGCCATTCGGGAGAAAGGAATCATTCATATCGGTTCTGTACGTACTCGCGCTGTATAACGTGGTTTACAAGCAAACCCCCCCAGAACATGCAGCATGGCCATATATGCCATGACTCTATATACAGCAGCGGGCTACGCAGCGCCACTTTCTTCGATTTACGATCTAATACGTCATCATCGCATTATACGCACCATGAAACGCACGGCTGCTCTGTGCGTAACACTACCCAATTCCTTACACTGCTAGATAGACTCATTACTTCAGAACCAACCTCCACGCCACCGCACTGCACCAGCAAACACCCATGTTAACGAACACGGCAAATACGCGCGCTGTGGCACCACGCAAAGTCGTGGCTGAAGCGACGGCACCACGGGTCCGTGTGCAGGCAGGCATACTAACGATGCCAGTTACGGCCGCGCTCTAATGGGCTTGCTTGGCTTCACGAAAGAACGAAATTCGAAATCGCAGGCGGCGCTGCTTGTGTGTGGAAGGTTGGCGGAAGCGCCAAGGGGGCGCGGGGAAAGCACGCTTCTCTCTCCACGCGCCGCGGTGTGAGAAACCGCGGAACACATTCGGCCGTCAGCTGATCATTAACGATTCACGTGTCGTGAGCTCCTCCACCCCCGATGCTGTAGTAGTTGCATGTGAATTCTGTATGTCGTGACAGTGCTTGTAGGCAAGCGTAATCTGTAGGTTGGCACGTGCGCGTTTGCACGTCCTCACGTTTACATAAGACGATATATTGACGATATATTAGTCTAGTTTGTCTACACGATCATGTACTGTATTCCTCAACGGCACGATGGGAGCAGATAACACATCGCGAAACAGCGCGCGTGCGTCACACAGATAGTCAGCAGGGATGAATGTACTGTATGTACTATCAGGAGTTAATAAAGACAAATTTGTCTTTATTAACTCCCGGTACTATGTATAGATACCCAATTCAAAGTTACAATTCATAAAAAAGCATGCCTACAGAAAAAATATACCGTAAATTATGTTACACTATAGGGCATGTTGGCAACGCTGAAGATGAGATCTAATATTGAAGCCACGTATACTCCGAATCTATCTACCGTATATACCGTCTATATACGGTAGACCGCCTATAGACCGTCTATATACCGTCTATATATCGTATATACCGTATCTACCGTCTAATGTAGCTCTAGTACTTATGTATGCAGGCCTCTCCATATTTGTATAATTTATCCCGATGAATTTGCTCTACACAGACCTCTACATACCAGACTCTTGCAGATATCTGTAGACTAGAAAGTTGACTTCGTCACTACTGAAGCTCATGTCTTCCCAGCCTTCAACAGAAGTGCTATGACGTCAAGCATTGGTCAGCTCAGCATGGACATGGCCTACAGCAACTCAGTCTCATTCATCTGCACAAAAATAACACGTATGCGCATATAATTTACTATCATAAGTACTCCGTGGCAATATCAATAGTTAATTATACTTCATGAAACCACAATAGACGTGCTGTAGGGTGTTCCACGCTCCACCATCCATCAGCTCATATATAAAAAAACACGCGAGCACGCACCCGAGCACGTTCAGGCTGTGCGTACAGTCTGTGTTGTAAGGAGAACATAATAAAGCACACCGTACGGATGTGGCGAGCATTAACAAGGTTACATGTATATTAGCAGGAGTGAACGAAAACAAATATGCTTTTATCCACTTCTGATATTAATTATTACGTTCGGTACCATCAGTTGTGCATTGTACAAGCAAACTGTAAAGGGCAGTTGATAAAATTAATTCTCTATAGTTCTTGAGCATCTTGTTCCCATAGATGCTGTAACACTCTCATGACAATCAGAGAATGCCATCAGACAATGCAGAGAATGCGTCGACCACGTACACCTGACGTGTGCAATATATATGTACAGCCTGCAAACAGATTAGCAAAAGTTGGGTGCTTTTGCACACGTAACATAATCAGGCACAATACACAAACACGCTAAGCCAACATCTAAACCAGTTTTCCCCTCCAATTCGCAGCGCGGAATTTAAACTTTGACAACTGTTGCGTAATCATCGCTGGAAAAACATCTGCAAACTGGTTTGCTCTGATTATAGATTTATAAAACACCACACGAAAAAATGTCGCATATTCAGTGACATTTTTTTTAAACAGCTAGAGTTACAATACAATGCTCATGGCTGTGCGTGTGAACGAGGCTTATCTATCTATCTATCTGTCTGGCCGTCCGTCCGTCCGTCCGTCCGTCCGTCCGTCCGTCCGTCCATCCATCTATCTATCTGTCTATCTGTCTATCTGTCTGTCTATCTGTCTATCTGTCTATCTGTCTATCTATCTATCTAATCTATCTAATCTATCTAATCTATCTATCTAATCTATCTATCTATCTACTCTCTGTATATACCAGGCTACGAATGGGGTTCTTGTACGTTCACGGAGTACAGCACGCGCAGACCCTCCGACCTCTGATTTAGACTGTCGCTTAGTACCGCCGCGGAATCTCCACCCGTTTCGCTAATTAAGTACGGAGTGTCTCCCCGAGCCTCCGCGACTCCTTATCGGCAATACGTCACTGAGGAGAAGGCCAACAGCAAGAGATAACCGATTTTCTGATGCAGCGGCCCACGTCGCACCGTGATTGATTAGCTAGCTGTAGGCAGGCTCTCTCTCGCTCTCTCGGTCGCTGCTGCTGTACAGTGCGCGCGCATTGTTGTTGTAGGGCTTCACACACTCGCAGATGCGGCTAGGAAGGCGGCTTCAGCGGCAAGAATACCCGCGCTAGTTTGTCTTCTAACTCTTCTTCGTTTGATTTTCGAATAACGAATTTAAAGGTTTCGTCGTAATTATGCAATCCGGATCCCTGCCATCGTATCTATTATCTCGTGCGCATATTTATTATTTTAAAAAACACACATTGTAATTATGTGAAAACGGTGCGGATCTACTAAAAATCTTGGTTTTTACCAATGTTTGGTTTTTAACAATGTTTGGTTTTTACAATCATGCACGAAACATGGGAAGGAACGTATTGCACAGCGATACCGAAGGTCTAGTTTTGATTGGCTTGGCAAGTCGCTGTTGGAATCAACGTCTGATGAATTCACATTCGTGAAGCCACCGCACCGTTCTACGTTGAGGGGCAGTGTCGATTTCTCATATAAACTGGAGGTTTGTTGTTATGAAGGCGGAGACACGGTTTATTGGTTTACATGGTCGTGTTCGTCATGAACCAGCATGAAAGTTTTTCATGTGTATGCAATCAAGTAACGCACACGCAAATTCCACTCGTTCATTTGCAACGTCGACATTAGTAAGCAAAACAACGTCAGCGGACCGAGTTCACCGTGATTAGGTTTCAAAATATTTCCAACCATGTTTATATACAGCTGCACATCAGTCTTTGTTGAGCGCGCACAATGACGTTGGGGTCAGCCTAGGTTCAGAGAAAGTTCACTGCACGCTCGGCCGCATCCGCTATTTTAAAACTGAGCCACTGAATAAATTTACGCGTTTAAAACGAAAATATATATCAACAGGTAACTAAATTCTAACAGAAAATCGTGACGTATAGAAAGCGAAAGCCTCGCTACCTGGAGTGAACATTTTAAAATAGAATTTATTTCTTATTTATTCAGGTTTCATCGTTTGCATAGAATATGTAAGAGACCTACGAGGTAATCTCTACATTATAATCACTACATAATGGCGAGAGAATGCAAACAGGTGAAGATAGGGGAAAAATAGTTTAAATTTGTAAAGGAATAAGTATGAAATACAGTAACGAATCAATTGACTATGCACAATTACAACTACACCAACTCGAACCTCACTACCCCCCCCCATTCCCGCCCGCCTCACCCACCGCAAGTAATATCCCGCACCGCAATAAAGTGTATAAATCAAGATGTTGATTTTTCAGATTTGAGGGAAGTGAAAACATACAACGACCGTTGACCCACCAAAAAACATGGTATGAGCACTTTTAATAATACTGATAATTGTGAACTGCCCCTAAAATAAATATAAATAATTGAACCAAACTGGACAGTCAACTTGTCTCTTTTTTTCTATAAACAGTTATTACACTTATCTTTTCATTGATTCTTTTTCATAATAAAGAGACTAATATGAGTTTAGTGAAGTAAAATCAAACAAGTAGTTGCAAAACTTTATTTTTAGGTAGGTGAAAAGAAATGTTTTTTTGAGAAAAAAGTTTGAAGACGTATTTCGTGCTATTAGTCTATCAGAGTATTAGAGCTTACATTTACGTGTAACATCTTTTTTTACAAATATAATTTCAATACAATTAACGTAACCTTGTAATTTTTAACAAACGCCTTTACTATGTGCAGACAACCTGGCAATAAAAACCTGGATAGCAAACCTGGAACAGTACCAGCATAGGCCCATACGTCTGCACGTGCATACCAAAATTCCGTTTATTTTTAGCCCAGATCTTTCGAGAGAGCGCTCAGAGTTCACATGATTTTACTACGCGAAAAAAAATGGACAGCACAGCTGATGACTGGTAAATCTATATCCTATTGAACATACCGTTGATTTTCAGCAGCCACATTTATCGCCCCCCCCCCTACTCCCACCCTACTCGCGCAACAGTCTATCTGTTGCCACACCATAAAACAGTTTTGCTGATACTCAATACGTATGAATCAACATACAATACATATGATACATATGCACCAATGTACAATAATATATGCATATAACATATTTTTGACTACAGTATTACCGTGCAGTGATCAGTAGTGATTTTGGCACATCTTCCAGCTTTCCTGGCTGTTCTTCTTTCCAATTTTTTATATAACGGTCTGTCTCAATCCAAATCAGCTGAAAGAAGCAAGAATTTCCCATGAGTTTTAAATTGTGCACTGAAAGTTCGATCGTTTATATGAAGGCCATATGAATCGTGTCTTACATCATGAGTGAGTGAGTGTGAGTGAGTGTGAGTGAGTGTGAGTGAGTGAGTCAGTCAGTCAGTCAGTGAGAGGGAAGGTGGAAGGGAGAATGAATAAACTTGGGGGAAATGAAAAGACATGGGACAGATCAGGAGTAGATAATAGGGAACCTATTATCAACTCCTGGACAGATGTAGGTATTACGCAGGGGTGAGGGCGATGTTTTACTGTTTTTACATACACTCAGCTTAGCACATGTGGCGAGATCGTTCGTGGGATTTTCTCCTCATGAAAACGACAACTAGTATCACATTCACAGCCACTATTTTCATTCAGTGTAAAATGACACAATGATGATCAATCACGCCGCGATCAACAGTCGATTGTGAGATAGATGCTGATACCTCTAATAAAGCCGACAACACGCCGACTGATACGCGGAATGTATCACACGCTTTCACTAATCCTCAGCACATCGCCAAATTTTTATTCTAAGAAGTAATGTGTTTTTTTCAGATTACATACATCTTGTGCTTAATAAGTATCACAAATGATGTCAGTTGCTATAGTTAGTGACTGACTCCAAAAGCCCCTATGGCTAAGGTCGCATGGGCTCATTGTTGATTTTCAACGGCTTACATAGTGACTAAGTATAGTAGTTAGTCTTGGTAGTTAGAATAAAATTGGACATAGTGACTAAGTATAGTAGTTAGTCTTGGTAGTTAGAATAAAATTGGACATCAATTAGGGGCCGAGTTAGAGAGCGGAAGGGAAATATGATCAAGGTCAAGGTAAAGGTCAAATAAAGGTCGCAGTCACCTGGTTTTGGTACTCTGCACACCTTCTCCCCAAGATGTGTAAGTATACCAAGTTTGGTCACGCTAGTCAAGTAGTGGTTGAGTTATAGAGCAGAAGGGAAATTCTCTGCGTCGGACCGAGCGGCGGCGGCGGCGACGACGGCTGGGGAGACATGAAACCATAGTATCCCCGCCGACTTCGTCGCGGGGGATACAATAATATAATTACTAACCCACTTCAACTCAAAACTACTCTGTTGGGTTACACTATCATATCTAGGCAACTGTACTGAACTGTAAACAGTGTCAGTATACCTGAAAAGTCTGTATGCTTACATTTACTTAAAGGTGCATTCTCACAAAATTTTTGAAGCGGCAACTATAAAATCAGGCAAAAGTGAATTATGTAAACATTGCACGTTTGTACTTGCCTATGTATGTGTGATAGATAGATAAACAAAAATTGCTCAGGAATACGTTCATTCAAAGCTTTTAGACTACAAAGTGAAAGTGTCGGATCGAATGTTTCAAACAGCGTTTACTTTTGCGGCGATGTTGTGACGCTACTAAGTATAGTAGTTAGTCTTGGTAGTTAGAATAAAATTGGACATAGTGACTAAGTATAGTAGTTAGTCTTGGTAGTTAGAATAAAATTGGACAGAAATAAATTTTTTGTGACGTAGAAGCTTTCAAGGGTTAGATACCATCTGAGAAGTTGAGAACTTGCCATATCTAAGCACTAAAAGGTTTCTACCTGAGCTAAAAGCTAACATTCGCACGATATTGCTTCGTAAACGGCTTGCCGGAACTGTTTAAATGCCAAAGCATACAGCCTATATCAAAGAATTGACAGCGCCATTAAAGCAATTGAGTACAGAATGGCAGACAAAATGCGGTCCATAGGGCCATCCTTAAAAAATTATGTTTGCTGTCCTCCGACCGACCCACGACAATAGCCGCAACCCAAAAGTTTTTTTTTACATTTTGGGTTCCATATTATATATATATTTTTTTTTTTACATTTTTCATAGTTAAGACTGAAACACAAAGCATGTGTGGCAAACATGAAGACAGACTTAAAAGAACTATTATGCCTCACAAAAAAATGACCTACCTACCTACCCACTAAAAAAATCATGAGTCGGGGGACAGCAAACATAGAATTTTTTAAGGATAGCCTAGTTGGGGCATACATTTAGAGCAGAACTTCGCCTCTGCTTGCACTCGTAGAGCTATAGCAGCCGTCGACATGTACGTCGATTGCCGCGGCACAGGTGTATGTACAGTATAAGGTAAGCTAGCCACCGTCACTGGCTCGCTGTGACACACGCATTTCCCTATACGTGAGACCAACGTCGGTTCATATTAGCCTAATTAGGGACAACGATCCGTTTTCAGAAAGAAAATTAGTCTTAACATTAGTCATTACATTAGTCTTAACATTAGTCTTAACATGAACTAATTCTATTTCTGACACCGGGCACGAGGAACTCCGGTGCCAAAATCTACACACACTGCACGGTTGCGCAGTAAAACCTAGAGGTTATGCTCGCAAATCAGAGAGATTTCAGTTCAATTATGTTCGTACATTGACACAGCCGATGCGGCGGCAGAGGGCGTCCCGTGCTATCGACAGCTAGGGACAGCCAGTTTATACAACAGGCTCTGCCAACATGGGGGCCATCTCGCGTTGGCTAGTACTGTCACCTTATAATCTCTACTAATTGCTGGTGACAAGCGGCTTTGCCAGTTGCCGACATTCAAAACAATTATGCAAATAAGGTGGCCACACACTTTTACGTCATTACTAACTTATTACTCTTTACTTAACTTACACTCATTACAGTACACATTACTAACACGTGTAAACACGATTAAAAAATACTACATGCGGCCAATCACTATGCAGAATTTCATTTCTCATTAGAATAGTCTGATAATAAATTAATATCACGACCTCGCACGGCAAAATATTCTCATTGCTGAACTTTGTAACTCGCATAGACATGCAGGTAGATACAACGAAATTTAAGGCGAGAGTAACTTATCGTGATATACTGTGATAGCAGAGACATAGTGAGATCATATATATGTCTATCAGAACATTCTTTAAAATTCATGGTTATAGGTAGGCCATGACCATAAACACATCACACCTACTATTTACGGTCTACAAGGAATACTTATGCAACAACTCATCTAAGACATCACTCATACACCCATACACTCATAACTCAACATTGAATACCGAATACTTTCATAATATAACAAGAGCCGCAGAGCGTCTGGGCTCATCTGAGGTCTGTTGCTACGATTATAAACTAAAATTCAGGTCGCTGCCTAGTACCACATTTGTAGGTGCCAGATATGCAGACACGTCAGTGCGTACACACTATGTTAGGGACACAGCCCACATCGCAGATGAGGGTAGGGGGAGGGGGTGGGAGGGTGGGGAGGGAGTGGTGGAGGTGTGGCGAAGGGGCGGGGGAGGGGTGGGGGAGGGGGAAGGGGAGGGTGGGGGGAGGCGGGCTCTATTAGCAAAAGCAGTTCATCCTTTGTTAACAGTCAACAAATGCCATTTTAACCCTCGCACTGAGGTCACAAAAGTGTTATCAGAACACTTACTTCTTCGCACCTCAGTGGAAAGCCACATTCATGGTTCGCTTTCAATAAAGCATAAAATAGTAGGTCACCGCGAAACAAAAAATTTTTCAGATCGCCTCGTATCACACCATGTCCTCAGACAAATGTCCAAATACGCCCCTGCGCCCCATTTGACTTTGAACCGGTGACCTCAATTTCGGCCACGTGGATGGCTTTTCCTACGCATGATGCTATACACCGACTATCACCGAGCCTAGTCGAGCCGTAGATTTGTGCCGCAATTTTCATGCATTCCTCCCTATAACCTTAAAGTTAGGCAGAGGAATGTTCCCCCTTCTTTTACACCATCGTGCTTGACCTTTGACCCCGCAGCTTTCGAGCATCCCAACTCGCTTTCGATGTACCCCCGCACGTCCGAATTATCAGTGACCTGTACGTCGAGCCGTTTAAGATTTGTGCCCAACCTGTTGACGACGCACGGACGGACGGACAGACGGACGCACGGACGACGATCATGCGATTCTACAAGCTGCA